CCTCCAACTGTGTCTAACCGTTAGGAATTCCTAAATGAAGTCAATTTGTGTAGTTTTCTTGATTTATTCTGCAGATATCGGTAAAATGTAGGTAAGGCTTTGGCGAAATTCGAAGGAGCAACTAATATTCTTCAACCTGGTATTTTTTTTAGATTTTATTTTTTATTTTTTTCGTCTGTTTTTTTTGAGTTTAAAAAATGTGAGCTGGCTGGAGCCTTCATCCCTTGTCTATTTCTTACACTAGATACCAGCCGATACCCCCCCCCCCCGCTCATAGGGAGTGCGTACAGTTGATCATAGTTCCTGGGCTCCCTGTGGTCTTACTTGAATTACTTAGTCAGATTTTCAAAAATAATAACAGAACTTCGGGGACTACCTGTGATGGCGCTTTCTCGGTGTGCGTTTGGACCAATCTGATTAAAATCAGTCCGATGTAGGTATATGTTTCATTTTTTGTTTTCGGGATTCGATGTGATAACGTAATAACAGCAAGTAAAACGTCCAAAATAGTCATAAATAAAGAAAAATAACAATAACAAAATAAACAAATTAGAGCATATACGTACATGAGATTGCAATCAGAAGGCGTTTTGATGCAATGTTATCGACACCGAGAGCAAGATTCCTAAATCTGGCAAAAGTCGTTATTATACTTGTCACTAAAACGACTGAGCCTACTAGTAGATTTGTACATACGAAACCAAATTCGGTTGTCGCTTTGTTTGGGTTTCGTGAAGTATTTTGAGATGAAAAACATCATTGTACTTAAATTTTACAAGAAAGTTTCTAATTGCCAAATTCGAGGAGACTGGTGCAACGAACACATTTCATCCAAGCAGTCTGAGCTTTAGATTTTGATTTTATTGTTAATAATTTTATTTCTAATAACATCACATTCGTGCTGGTGCACCACATTATCTGTGTAGTACAATCATATTCTACTGAATCGCTTCCAACTATGTTGGTATCATGATTAGGCTAGACCCTGTCATGGTGGAACATGTGATTACTCCCACATCTCGCACAACTTGACGAGATCTTTATATGTGACGTGATTTACCTTTCGTTGTTGTGCACGGCATATAAGACTTTCCCGTCTCACCGTAGAATGTTTTTTTTGCTCTACCCTAATTCTGGTTTGATATATTATTTAATCTGAATATGAGACAAGTAGATAGCGTTTTCAAACTCGTTTCTCACTCTATATACTGCTAATAATATGTATAATCAATATGCGCAGTAGTCAGTATGTAAATGCTACAAACAACGTAAATCTTGGCGTAACTGTGCTTGCAGATACATGTATCACTACTGTACGTGTATAATTTTCGGGATTCTTTTTTGGACCCCTCCCTATATGGCTTCTGTTTAGTGGTTCGTGTTCTAACCTGTATGGTTCACCCCATACAGTCGATAACATATGATTCCTCAAACCAAAAACAAATGGTTAATATTCAGTTGGTTGGACATCTAACACCTAGAGGTAACCAATTAGCTTGGTACCACATATATATGGAGCTAGCAGTATTAAACAAATACATATCACATTATATTTTATCTAAATTAAAACGGTGAACCATCATGTTTGAAAATTAATCTATAACCCGGATGTTACCTGTTAACAACGGCTGACTGTAAAGTCCAGTCAGCTACGGTACTCGTACGATGGTGGATACCATCATTTACATAGTTTAATGGCACGTCATATTCACCGAACACTGAAGATACCCGGGCTAATAACAATAACAAATCTGAATGGCAATCGCCCTAAGTGCCAAATATGAATAGTGCATTGTAGAAAAATTAGTCTCAAAGATGGCGGCCCTAAATATTAGTCGTGGTATCGCGTATTGACAATAATAATAAATACTGTAAAATGACTAATTTTCACTGGGTTTAAATTTCACTGATTTAGCATTTCAGGCATATTCAGTGGGTTTTAAATTCACGGTTTTATCATTTAGATAATGTGTTCTATGCTCAATTTTACATATTCACTGGGTTTTAATTTAGCGCATTTCCAGTCAGTGAAATAAGCAAAATTAAAACCAAATGAATAGTTAACCTCTTTACAGTAATGTCAATTATATTGAAACTTTTCAAAAGGCAATAAATAATAAATAATCTCAAGCATTTGCCAGCAAAAACTAAAGGCCGATTTACACGACTCGATTCATCTGATCAGATTTATGGTACCAAACTGCAGTCTCTTTATCTGATGGAAAAATATGTGACACGATAGAATCATATGATCAGATAATCACACCATGAAGCTAAAAAGACTGAGATACCGGGCGTCTTATCTCTTATGACTATAGGGTAACTCACCTTCAATGACAAACAAATATTCCTAATTTGATTACAAATCTAATCGACTTGCTTAAAGGGTGATGGTCGTCGCGCCGCGCATGTGCGACTTCTTTGTTGATAAACATTGATTTTCCCACAATCCAATGCGCTTTTTAATGGAAATCACGAGTGCGAGTTTTGATCTGGGCGCAACGTGCACTAATTACCACTGGTGACTCCTTCGATACCTTCCAATTAGTAAAGAAATTACATAGTTAAAGCTTAGTGACGTCTCGGTTTGTACTCGCTGGTCAGCAAAACAATCAAATTCGCCATCTTTGTTCTGTACTACCTTCCATGGCTTTCTCGAAGCAACAGTTCCACCATATTGTGTGATCATTACTTTAAGTTTGTGTCATTTTTATTCATCTATTTATAAACTATATTTTACATTTGTCTTGCGAAATGTAAATCATACAAGTGTGCCATTTATATTATTATAACCAGTTATAAAGGAGTTATCTATTCCTGTTATTATTACCAACATCGTACCCGGGCCCGTCTTGAAGTTGATTACAGCTTTTTTTAAATTCTTCTGTTCTAAATAAATATGTTTATGCATGGCAACCGTGGTTTATGTCACGAAAACACGCTAAATACAACAGAGACAAGCTAGTAATATAAAATTAAATTCGAGTCAAAATGTTGTTGCTGAGTCAAATTCGTATTATCTAGCTTTTAATACGAGGTCGCATTGCGAGACGGCGGCAACCAAGTAGTTTAATGAACCAAATATATTGGTCTTTTGTTATTCCGACCTGCCCATATCTAAGATTCAATACCTCCAAACAAACAGACATACTACGAGTGTATCTCAATGAGCATGTCTATGTTTACTTACGTCGCCATTATGTCATTTACCGTTACCTACACAGTAGCTTCGCGTTTATTGACCGTATACAGAGCGACTCACTGTGTCTGCCTAGTTTGCGTAGCCGCTACTGTGTGCTTCGATGTATACACTGTGAATAGTTTATTTCGCTGGGGTTGAGGGAATAAAGCGAGAAGTCAGCCGATAAAAGGGTAAACATGTAAATATTCAACGCCGTAACAATAACTGACATAAAACACACTCAACAATGAAGGCATGTACTAGTCGTGCTAAACCTGGATGACTGCCATTCGCAAATGGGGGAATCCGGTCCAAGGTTACGAGAGATATGTTTCCAGTTAGCGACTGAAGTGCTTTTAAGAAGTTATAATTATAGAAGCAATCGGCGATATCGCGTTTTATGCTGTCCCGAAATGACTGAATCATGTATATATGTTGTGGTGCGTTCATATATATGATATCACGCACCAATCGGTTCCCTGTCTATGAATGGTAACGACCATTACTATGACAACCATGGACGCTAACCGGCGGTGAAGCTAACAATATCCCGTGAATTGGGGTGTACATTAATAATGACTGGCTGCGATCGCCACGAGTAAATGGTCCCATATAGAAGACGAAACGACAGTGTACGTCTGTCAGTATAAAACTATCGTGCCTGAATTTGCTGGTAAGTTGATGATTTCTTTTCGAAATCTTCAATGAAAGGACAGTTTACAAATATATATTCACACTATGTAATTACTGAAGCATTTTGATCCTCATGGATTGCTGAGCAGGCCGTGCATTGTCTATGTCTATAATGGCCGTCTTGTAGCAAGTGGGAGGTGTTAATCACAGTCTGGGCCAAGAATTAAACCTATTTATAACCGACAAAGGGGCACATGTTGACATTAATCATAAAAGTATCAACAGTTATTCAGAAACAGTATCATTATGTTTGTTTGAAGATACGATATCGCTTCTCAGTGGCTTGAACTTCAAGTCGGGCAATTGGTTAAAAGTAACCACTTAATTTAAGTTAAATATATACAACTTGGTGTTCTAGTAGGACATAAGTTAATTACTGTGAAGATTTCCGTGGAGTAGCCGACCTAGAACGAATACTAATTTATTTTATTCGTAAAAGTACATGTTAAGGGTTACTCGATATGCCCCATACACCTGTCGGAGCCTTCGCCATCATGGCTTCCAAGGTGACGACACACTATTGTGATCAACTGTGCGCGTCACCGTGTGCGAGTAAATGTGCCGTGTGGTGCAAACTTAGTGGTGGGTACCTATAGATAGGATCGAACAAAGACGATCACTATTCACCGATTCGTATTTTATTTGGGCTGGATAATCCACCATTTGTGCCGAGAAGTTATTGCCAATTTAATATGTGTGTATTAGGACAAAGACGTTCGACATGCGAATTCCTGTTCGTTTTCTATCGGTAAATAGCCGTGCCTTATAGGTGTTGTATCATGTATGTGTGAAATTACTCAGATATTACTTCATTCATTGTGCAACTCGTAAATATTTACGTGTTTCTGTTTAAACGTTTATTTACAGTGACCGGTATTGTTTGCGTGTGCTATGGACAAGCTCATCGGGGAAACAACTGGATGTTAACAGCGACTGCGTTATTGTGAATTGTGTGGTTGTTTAGTTGGCAAACATGGAAGGTTCTGAAGTCCACTCGCGACGTTCGTCTGCTAGGAGTGGTCGTAGCACTGCCAGCAGCTCGCGGAAAAGCAGCGCATTCGCAAAGCCTTTCGGCTTTAACAATAAAACAAACTTCGCAGCCTTGGAAAATTTAGTACTGACGCGAAGTGACAGCTACATTTTAAGAAAGCCACCGCCAGACGATAACGTCTGGAAACGACCTGCTCCTGATTTTAGACCACAGGTATGGGCTCCGAGCCCTCCTAAGAGGAACACGCAAGACAGCATGAAGCCATGTAAATACGGTACCTATCCCGGAGATTATTTAAAAAGACCAAGAAAACCTAGAGCGCAAGTTTTACCTCATTTGCTTTTACCAGAACGAGCTGCTAGTCCACAGATTGTGACAAGATTTCGAATCCCTGATCCGTACGAAGCCAAATTGCTGTATGTAAAGCACGGCGTCTATCCTAAAGGACAATATAAAATGCCCAAACCGCACGATTTCAGAGGGGTAAGTAGAAAATAGATATCTTCATAACCCCCACTCCACTTCTCACCAGAACACTGATCTAGAGACGCAGTGCGTTCAAGAATCAATTTTTATCTACGTAACCATGGAGATAAATTCATCACCACATAATAAAATAATGTCCCGTCATTATGTCTGTCACGTGATTTTATTGTATATTTCCAGGCAAGGTAATTTTTTGTCAGACGTCGGATGTAACACAAAGCAATTTCCGCTCTGTTGTTGCAAAGTTCATATGTAGTGAGTCGCTGCCGCACTGCGAGCCGTAAAACGCAATTAACAAAAGACAACGATAAATGACAACAGTAGATCTAATCAGTTGTTTGCACGCTGCAATACTGCGCAGTGACCCAGGTATCCGCTGCTAAGAAACGTGCAACATTAGTGTACATTTCATTTGTCACGCCTATGGCCCGACGATTGTCGGTGTGCTTGCTCATCAAACGTTGTAAAATCGGGATAAAACTATTGAAAATGAGTGGGTATATATAGAGATCAGTGTTTCCACTTTTATTAATGCGTATTAATAATAATATTCTTTATTGGGCTCATAATATTAAACTAAATCAAAAGAAAAAAAATACAAATGTAACTTAGAAGTTAAAAATACCCTCCGTCCCCTGGTCAACTTTCATTGTACGCAGAACATAATCACACACCTTGGCGTTCATATACATAGCATTAGTGTGTATTCACTTCATGCGGGCTTCATCATTACTAGCATTATAAAATACGATCATTAAAAATGCCATAGCAACTTGATGAGCTGTTAAAAAACCAATAATCGTTTAAGGAGATTATTTTATGAATGCCTTGCTTTCATTTCGTGTCATGAAAGACAGCAATCCAAACCATACCAATTATATTTTCTATAATATTTTCTATAGTTTGGAATGATTACTCTGATATCAGTGATCAATTTGAGAAGCAGCAATGCACTGATCTCACCCTGTTCCCGTTTAATAGTAGGCATATTTGTTTTGGAAATGAATGAGTAAACACGTTGAATTGAAGGGTAAACCTGTTCCATGTAGTATTGTGTGTTGCCCTGAGTGGTCTGTCCGTCATTACGGTGTGTTTTTATTATTACAATCGAATTTCTTGTATTCTCTTCCAGTATCCGCCATTATCAGCATTAGGGCTCGACGAGTTCGACGTTTTCTACGACCACGATCCTTATGATTTGAAGTTCAAGTCGGAAAGAATAAATATGCGTAAGTGGCAAAATTCGCGGTACTTGACATAAGTTATGTGCTGTGTTCAAGTTGTTGTCATGGTGATGATCTATGACGTGATGATACCGGGAGTGTAGTTCAAAATAGAAAAATCAGTTCGGGCATATATTTTGGAATTTTCTTGTAAAGTAATACAAAATGGCGATCACTGCTAAAATTATACAACAAAGTCACTAACAACTGAGATTCAATGCCAAGTTTCTGCTATTATTTATTTACCTGTGAAATAATACATGGATAAGCTTTTTTTAAAAAAAACTGAAATATTTCTTTTATTGACATGAACTCCTAATCAAATCACACATATACACAAGAAAACGTTCTTCAAGTTCGCAACTATTTATACTATCCGGGGCACAATAAAGAAAACACACAATATTTATGCTTCATCCATGCCTCAGTTATGCTTTTGACAAGAAAGTGACAACTATTTGGTGTACATTATCAGAATCAATTGAAGAAGTAAAATTATACATCGCCGATCCGATTCCATGTGACCCAAAGCGTATTGATAGGCAACGTACGAACGTGTTTCACTGCAAATGACATTCAGTGTTTCAAATCGTGTAAAAACTGATATTTGTATATGGCAGTATTGAGAGTGATTTATCTTACCACGGGCAAGTTGCAATTATCGTAGTTAGTTCTTTGATGGTGTAGTCAAGAGGTCACTAATAGTGGGCGTATACATGAAAGTGATATGGCCCGCAGGCAAATACCATGCAACCGGGGTCGCTGCATTGTACACAATCGATGGTGTGTAGTGCATACCGCGCTGAATTGTGGAGGGTTGGGTTTCAACCGGTTCGATACAATATTAAAGCCTTCATTGCCATCTTGTAATAAAATCAAATTTTAAAGAGAACCTCTGGAATCAGTTTAAAATTATTTGTTTTGACAATAAATGCGATTTCTTTTTATCAAACTATTTTATCAAT